TAATTTTGAAGTCATTATAGTTTTCGAGCCAAACGCAGTGGTGTGCAACTGTAGTCTCAGCTACTGATGAGGCTAAGGCAAGTGGATCACTTGAGCTTAAGAGTTTGAGGTTGCATTGTGCCGTGATCATGCCTTTGAATAGCCATTGGACTCTAGACTGGGCAATGTACTGAGACCCTGTCTCTAAAAAAATTTTTATTTTAAATATTTCTTTAAAATAATTTTCAGTAATTTTTAAGCCATTAAACTCAAGCTGTAAATATTTTAACTGGTTCTGGAACTTTAAGATGCCTAAGAATAACCTGGAGGACTTAAAACACAGTTTGTCCATTTCCTACAGCCCCACTGTCCCATGTCGTTTCTGATTGCTTACATCTGTGATGGAGCTCAAGGATTTACATTTGTAGCAGGTTCCCAAATGTTGCTAATACTGTTGGTACAAGGATCATATTTTGAAAACCACTGTTTTAAAAACTGTATATTTGAAAAAGTTAAGAGTTCTGTACATTTTTCTAAAGTCATATTTTTTCAAACTATATTTGAAAATGTTGGAGTTCTGGACATTTTTCTAAAGTCATATTTTTTTGAGAAAGGAAATGGGCCACTTAAAAAATTTTAAGAATTAATTTGGCCGTGTTCAGTTGTTCACACCTGTAATACCAGCACTTGAGGAGGCCAGGGCGGGCAATTGCTTGCATCCAGGAGTTCGAGACTAGCCTAGTTAACACAGTGAAACCCTGTCTCTACAAAACAATAGAAAAACTAGCCGGGCCTGGTGGTGTGTGTCTGTAATCCCAGCTTCATGGGAGGCTGAAGTGGGAGAATCACCTGAGCCCAGGAGGTCGAGGCAGCAGTGAGTAAGCTAAGATCTCACCATCATACTGCAGTCTGGGCAACAGGGGTGAGACCCTGTCTTAAAAATCAAAAAGAATTATGTTATGACAAACTGCTAGTGTAATTCACTTTATTTATTTATTTATTACTTATTTTTGAGATGGAGTTTTGCTCTGTCACCCAGGCTAGAGTGCAGTGGTGTGATCTTGGCTCACTGCAACCTCCACCTGCTGGGTTCAAGTGATTCTCCAGCCTCAGCCTCCTCAGCAACTGGGATTCCAGGAGTGAGCCACCAGGCCTGGCCCTGTAATCCGTTTTAAGTTCCCTATTTTTACCTTGCCTTTTTGAAGTTACTGGTTGACATTGTTTGAATTAAGCATTAAAACTATAATTTTAAAAAATAAATTTTGTTCTCAGTAGTTCTTAAACGGAATGAAAGTATGTCATATGTATCAAATACAATGATAAAAATATGCATGGGCTTTCTTTTATGAAGTTACCTTTATCAGTGCCTTTTCTTTGGCCCATTTTAAACACATTAATAATTTTTATTATTTTAGAGTAAAATGAATCATGCTGGTTCAAATGAATAGAATGTTTTTCTCACTAGTTGGAATGTTCAGAAAACATTTAAAAAGTTTTAGCAACAGAGATCTAGGAAAATGAGATAAAGAAGTATTATAGGGGTATAAGTGTAGGGGAACAACTTTGTCATGGCACTCTGGTGACCTGGCATGTATTCATATAGGCAAAGACTTGGACCTCAGGACTGCAGCTTTTCTGTGGCTTGACACACCTTGTGATTCTCCTGGAATAGAGGGTAAGAGGCCTCTAAGGAGCTGCTATGAGGTCATCTCCCAATTTCCCACTCACCTCTCTATTTCCCCTAGAAGTGTGTCATGAGGCAATTTCTCTTCACTTCCCTGGTTGTGATTAGGTATTCGACTTTTGACCCCACCCCACATCCTTAGAATAGAGCTCAGAATAGAAAACTGCTTAGCCATAGTTTACATTGAGCCTGCCCCTTTTTTGTGCTACCATTTTTGATGTGTGGGACAAGGATCCAGGCAGTTTGCTCTTTGGCTAATCTTTTTACTATCTAAGTAATAAACTGTTTAAATCTAATAAACCATCTAAATTTTAAAACGGCTCATATGTCTCTTTACTGATAGAATTAGTGAGGCTTTGGTCTGGCTTTGGTCATATTTGTTCCCTTAACAGTAAGCAAACTTCCTTTCTTTTTTGGTATGTATGGAAAGGCATTGCATGGGTATAGCTGACAATAATCAAGCTTTTTAAAGGTTGATAAACAATAAAAATAAATAACATCTACCGATTATTGAGTGCTTATGTACCAACACATAGAAAGGCATATTTACAACTGATATTTATAGTTTTGTCTGTTTTTTAACAAATGGGAAAACTGAGACTTTTGGCTGAGTTTCCCAAGGTCACATAGCTGTTAAACAATACAGACCATATTGTAAGCTGGGCAACCTGACACCAAAGCCCAGTCTCTTAAAACTATACTGCATATCATACAAATATATGCGTGTGTGTATAGTTATGTGTTGTGTCTGTACATATGTGTGTGTATATTTATAGACCTATTTTGTGTCATGCATGCATGTCATATGTTGATGGTAATTTACCAGTTTTGAATTGAGCACACAAAAATTAGGTAATCAATAAAGGATCTATCACTATATGATTCCTACTTATATTAAAAATTAATCTAGTCAATATTTCATCACCTTGATTTGAGAATCAATAATTCTGCGATACTTGGTGTTGCCCAGGGTATCAGAGAAGGCAAAGTAGATTTCTTATCTAATGGTAAGAGGTAGTGCAACATAGAAAGTTGAACACCTCTCAAGGGACAACTCAAAGAATTCACTAGTAATAATTTATATTTATTAAGAGCCAACAAAGTGATAGGCACTATTCTGAGCCCTTTTTATGTATAAACTCATTTAATCCTCATAGCAATCCTGTATTATAATTATTATTCCTGTTGTTGTTGAGCAACTTTCATTCCTTGGTTTTTCATGTGATAACTCAGATCTCCTTTCTTCCCAGACTCAGTACCTTGGTTCCATTGCCTGTAAGACATGAGTTGAATTTCTTCTCTTCATCAGGTGTTACAGTTTGTTTAGATCCCTTTCAAAGGATGATACCCAAAATCTGTACTACAGATATGGGCTGACATATGCAGAGCAAAGCGAAAATTCCTCCTCTGTAGTGTTGTGTATTATAGCTCTGTTAATGCAGTTTAAACCCACATAAGCTTATGGTGTTAAAATAATACTGCAATTAAAATCCCTAAACCTGTTAAACGTGTTCTATAGATGAGTCTTTTTTCTCTTATTCTATACTTGGGTAGTTGGTTTGGAATCTACTATAGAATATTTGCATTTATCCCTTTTAAATTTCTTCTTGTTAGATATCAGGTCTTTCGGGATCTTTACTGTGTTAGTAAATGCTTTTGCTGTCCTTTGCAGGTTCATGTCATCTTCAAAGTTCAGGACACACAATATCTTCATCTTGGCCTTATAGAATACCGCTAGAAACATCCCTCTAGGCCTCATCTCATTAAGTGGTGTACTCTAGGGAGTATTTGTTCCACCAATTGCTAATTTAGCTACCTAATCTAGCTTATAATTTTTTTACTTTTGTTCTTTGAAAAATCATGAAGGACATTATAAAATTACTTACTATTATCTAGTTAAATATCAAGTGTACTTTTCTGATCTACAAGTCTTATAAATACATCTTTAAAAAGAAACAAACCTAGCCTGTGACATGTCTTACTGTTTTTAGCTCATATATCCTAATCCTAATCTTTATATCTTCTTCTTGGTATTCACAGTCAAATCTTTAATAATTTGTTTTAGAATGTTATCTGAAATGAACAGAAATCTTACCATATTGTAGAATTTGTTCATTAACCTGTCTTATTTTTGAAAATAGTCTCCATTCCTGTGGTACTTGTAACGATTCAAGAATCTCATTTTCAGGTTGTTTTAAATACCTTGAGCCATAATTGTTTAGTCTGAGAGAGCTGAATTTACAAAGTAACTAGGTCTCCTTTTTTAATTTATTCTCTTATTTTTCATATCCATTTTCCTTTTCTGTTGTTCATCCTTCACTTTTTAGTCTATCATTCTCCTTGTTAAATCAGAAAATGAGAGTTGAAGGGGGTATGTTTCACAGAGTAACAAATATAATTAAATTAATTGCATGTAAAGGAATATAGTAAATAAATGTTTATATATACCCAGGTAAAGTTAATTTTTGACCTTGATTTTGAGAATTTGAATTGGAAGAAAGGAAGATGAGAGGAGAAATGTTATAGACAAAATCTAACGTGTGGTTAAGAAAATATTTGGGAGATAGCAAGTTTTTTTTTTCTTTTTTTTTATTTCATTTTAGGTTTTGGGGTACATGTGAAGAACATGCAAGATTGTTGCATAGGTACACACATGGCAGTGTGCTTTGCTGCCTTCCTCCCCATCACCTATATCTGGCATTTCTCCCCACGCTCTCTCTCCCCAACTCCCCACCCCTCTGATAGCAAGTTTTAAATAGAGGTGTAGTTATTACGTGAGCATCATAAGAGTAAAAGGTCAATGTGGAAAAGAATGGGAATTTGAGAAGTAATGAGAATTAGTGAAAGTGGGGATATTATATGGGAAGCGGCAGTTTAATACAGTGAGACATAAATATTCTTAATACTCAAGTTGTATATTGTGTAGAACTTTATACTTTA